GAATTCGCCACCCAAATTCATGGTCGCGCAAATTTATCGTTAATCAGGTCCTCGTTTGTGAGTCAGAAACACAAGATGCGAAAATATATAATTCACTTGTAGGGTATCACCCGGGTTGGCACAACTGGTGAGACGGCAGTGCTATGGTCAGCCAGCTGGGATGCCCATCCTGCCCCCGGAGGTGTTTCGCTGCTAGACCTGTAAGTACATCAACCTTGATGTTCCAGCCAAGCCATGTGCAATGCTGAGAGTGGGCCGTTTCAAAAACTACATCGTCAGTGTTCCGGTGACAGTCACCGTTCTCTTCGATTTTCAATCAGTGGCTGTTGCCATGTGTCCTCTCTGCTCACACTGCTCACACCACCCTCACTCCCATCCACTGCCTCGTCTTGGAACACAACCCGTCTCCCCGACCCTCGTCTCGATGACGGGGATCGGCTGCTACTCACTATCGCACTCGACCGGCCAGAGCCGCTTCTCACTCCGCCATCCACTGCTCCGCCTTCACCCACACCCATCCCACCTGCCCCTGCTGCCCCCAGCCCTTCACCCTCCTCTTCCACTTGCGGCACTTTCAGACACGGCTGCACCAGCGGCCGCTGCCCAGGCAGGTTTGGTCTCGAAGGGGGAGTGGGGAGCGGAGCCTGGGTGCGCAAGGAGGGAAGGGCACGGTCAAGCAGAACCATCAGGGTGCGCATGTCGCTCTGCAGGTCCGCTATCATGCACCTCAGCTCCTCCACTGACTCATGGCTGCGCATCACCTTCTCCTGCACGTGGGCCACCTCCTCCTGCACGTGGGCCACCCTCTCCTGCACATGCGCCAGGGTGAGTTTCTGTGTGGGCGGCTTCTTGACGGGCAGGGCGGCCTGCTTCACCACCTCGCCGCACTGCAGCACCACCGCCTGCGACAGCTGCTCCAGCTGCTCCTCCTCCTCCGCCCAGGGGGCAGTCCCCCACATTCCTCCATACCCACACCGGGATGGGGAGAAAAAAGGTGCCGTCTTGGATGACATGGCAGATGCGGATTGGCGGTGCCCTTTTTCCTGGAAAACAAGGAGGGAGGGGGAGGGGAGTCGGGGAGAAAAGGAGGGAGGGAACGAAGAGGGGAGATGAGATTCTGGATTGGAAAGTCGAGCGTAGTTGAGAATTTGGCAAAGTTGAGATGCAGAGTAATGAGGACGGATTTATCGATCGAATCCCGATGGAAAGTACACTATGGCACTGGCACTACCCACATCAGCTGTCCATACAAGTGACGCAGATGCCAACAGGCATCCTAACAAGCATGGCAGCAACGACGCACCTCCCTGTCGTGGCGGCGCTGCAGGATCATGGCGAGCGAGATGGCGTCGATGCGCTTGTCCCTCACTGTCAGCACGTGCTGCCGCCGCACCCGAGCGTCGCTAGCGGGCGGAAGCACGGGGTGGTTGCTTGACCGAGCAAACTGCGATGCCTTGTGGACGCTGCCAAGCGTGTCAGAAATCGCAGAGCCTACCCGCCGTTGGATGGACTTGACGCGGCGCATCCGAGGGTCCGCCTGGAATTCAAGTGCATGTGAGGAATGGCGTGTGTGGGTGGTGGTGGTGAGAGGTCTATGTCAATGGGGGCCGTTGCAGCGTAGCCAAGGTATCAGCCTTACGTGCGTCACAAGGGAGCAATCACTTCATATATGCATGGTTCGTTCAAATACATAAGCTTACATTTTTTATCAAAGTATAAGTGCATTACATAAGCTTATGGTTTGAAAACAACCTGCGCAAAACACCTGATTGCACACTCACCTCGTCAATGCGGGTGTCCTTGGCCCCCAGCTCCACAAGGCGGTCGAGAATGAGCCAGTAAGGCAGGTACCGGCCGCGCCAGCAGTTCCACTTGTACTTGACGATGTGAGCGAGGTCAGAGGTTATAGAGGTGGCTACGACGTTGTTATCCTTGACATCCATGAAGGCATCGACGATGATGGCGATGAGGAAGTTGAGGAGGATGAAGACCATGAAGACAATGAACATGAGGAAGAAGAGCATCGCGGCTATCAGGTCCCATGATTCGAGGCGTTGGAAGAAGTATGCCGACCCATTGTCATTGAGCAGTAGCAGGAAGCACGAGAACATGGACTCTGGCAGCGTGGAGAACTGCAAGGGGTGGAGTGGGATGTTGGGAAGGGGGGAGTTTGGCAACAGCCGTAAAAAAGTTTGAATAACATAAAGAAGTGGCCGTAACCGGTTTTGGCTCTCAAAAAAATACTCATATGATAACCCAGTAATGGCGTCGGTTATAGGTAATGTGCCCCACACGCACCAGCTCCATTGCGCCTCCGAAGACGAGGTAGGCGTACATGCTGAAGCAGAAGAAGACGGTAAAGGAGAGCAGGAAGAAGTGCAGCAGAGAGGGCGTGGCGAGGCCGAGAGAGCGCGTGATGACCCCAAGGTAAGGCTGGAAGTCGACCATCACTTTGAGCAGGCGAATCATCATGAAGAATACACTGGGAGTGAGAGTGGGGAGGTGAAAGGCATTGAAAATGGAATGTCAACATATTCAACCAAGCCCATTACATAAGCATCAAACCGACCTGTGCTTATTCAGTAACATGTTGCCCGTCCCAGTGTACAGTCCGCCACAGAAGTGGAGAAGATACATCTCCGGGTCATCTGGCTGCATGATTCTAATGTGGAATAGAATCTTATTTTGTGCAAGTGTTGTTACGACAGTTGTGGGGCTTGCTTGATGTCGTAAATAGGGCATGTCTCAGTTCGGGTCATAAGGCCACTTTGGGTCAACACTGTGCACTTTGGGTCATGGGAGGACCAATGGTATCCCAGTAGCGTTTCTGAAATGCTCCTGATTGGTCTTCCAAGAATCTCGCATGACCCAAACAGTGCATGACCCGAACCAAAGATACGCAAAAAGACTCACAAAGTTGACACAAGCGGAAATTAGTATTGAAGTAGGTGTGTGGCTGTTAGACGAGGATTTAAAAATCAATTGACACATACAAGAAGACGTTCGTCACATCAATTCGTCTGTGGGAGGTTCTTGGCGGCACCAATTCCGAGCAAGGTGCATAATGACTTCCCGGTGCAAACGTCTGGTCGAAGTAGATGTTGTGTCATTGACTTGCATTCATGCACGACCCAATAGGCTTTGAAATGCTCAGCGGTTCGACGGCGAATGTTTTCACTCAAATGACACATTTGTCAAATAACTCTCGAAATCCCAACAGCTAAACCACTGGGATAAAAAAAAATTTGTTAAACAACCGGTCAGTGCACTCATTACCCCCAAGCTAATGAGGCTGTAATCTTTCCTTACGATCAATCGGGCATCCCCAGTGCAGGTCTTCTGACAATAACATCGGTCTCTTCTTTACCGCTGCAACATCGACGAGCACCCAAGTATCTTGTCATCTGTTCAAGCCAGTTCAACCTGAACCAGATGAGTTCGGTAAGACTAGTGCATCGGTTCAAGTCGGTTTACCGGAGCTTAGTTCGGATTCAACTCTTGCTCGTTAGTATAAATTGTACATTGATTAAAGACAGCCCAATGGTTGCCACAGTAGTGGAAGGTGCTCACTTGATGCCCTGGAGGGCGAAGTAGACGGCGCGAAGGTTGATGATGTTGCGCAAATCGGCGAAGGCCTGAGTGGCGCTGATGAAACCCGTGGGCGGGTTGGGCACGGCCCAGTAGTGTGGCATCTCGAGCAGCGTGTAGTAGATGTCATATCGTGGCTGCATGTCAAATGCCTCCACGTACCGCCACAGCAGAACCCTGAGCTCACCAACATATACAAGCATATGTGGAGGACCGTCGGGGGTTGCGGGCGAGTTGGGTGGGCAGATGAGCGAGGAGGGGAAGGTCGAATGAGGACGGAATTTGAAATAAAGAATAGAACAAATAAGTAACTAAATAAAAATAACGAATGAATAAACAAATATTAAATTAATGAATAGACAAATACATAAATAAATAAATCAATAAATAAAATATATATACAAATAAACAAATAAATAGGATGACTTGCCAACGAAACTGCAAACCATTCATCCCTCACCAGAGTGCTATGGCAAATGCTTGTAGCGAGAGGGAGAGAATATCGACCCAGTTCCACACGAGCCCAAAGTAGCTGAGCACGGAACCATCCTTGGCAGCACGGTCGGCCATCTCGTGCAGCTCGCCAGCCACATTCCAGAGCAGCCCCACCAGGTACACCACCTCGAGCACCAGCCGTGCGATGTTGTCCGCCGATGCATCGTACATCGCCATGGCTGCCGGCTGCGACTTGATCGTTACTGCCACGCTGCCGCCCGTTTTCACCATGCAGGTTACTGTGGTGAGCACGAATGTAAGTGTTTCACCTGGCAACGTGGGGTGTGAAGGAGGAAGGTACTGAGAGACGTGCAGAAAGAGGCGTGAATGAAGAGGCATGCGACTGCACATTGGCTATGAGAGGCCTGGATGCATGTGTTGACTGTGGAGATGAGACAGGGATACATGTTGTTGAAGTCCATTGTTACCACAATGCGACCTTTTCAAGGTGAATAATGACAAGGCAATCACCATTGAAGGTTATAAAGCTGACATCGACGCTGCGTGTGCCGTTGTCAATGTAGCTGCCATCCACCAAGTACTGTAGACGCCTTGAGGCCGCCTCGTTATCAAGATTAATGTCAAACACCAAAGGGTAGGTGGTCAGCGACTCCTGCTTAAAGAAGGGTAATTGTGAACATTATTTTTCCCAAGACATCATATAGCTCTTACCACAACCACATGGCAAAAGGCAGCAAGCCAGTACAGCTGCAATGCAGTAATGAATGGAGCAGCACACCGTATTTAAAACACTCGGCACCAGAAGTTGTGCTGAGAAATCAAGGCACAGAGACAACAAGACAGAAAGGCATCGGGACATGTAGCACAGCACATGCCATGAGTCGCTTGCGTTGCTTGTGACCTGGGATAAAACTGAGTGCTTCACCAGAGCTCTGAAGTGCTGTGCATTCACTCACCAAGGGGTAGATGAAGCCGTAGGGGACACCATTAGGGTTGAACTTGAGTTTAAAGCCGAAGGTGCTGTTGTCGAGCTGGCTCATGTTGGCGCTGGCAGCGCTGTCGTAGATGGCCGATGTGGGCAGGAAGTGCGGGTTCACTCCAAACGGCTCCGTTGACGTTCCGTTGCTGCACCACCCACCCAGGTGCAGCAGACTGGTGAGGGAGGTGGGGGGGAGGAGGAAGAGTTGGTGGGGGAAAAAGAGAGGGTGAAGGTGTAAAGAAGAGGGGATGTGAAGAGCAACCGGTGGCCGCATTCACAGCAACGGCATGAGGCGAGCATTTTTTTAGCTTTCCACGCCACACTCCAGGAACCACCACGCACCCCACCCCATTCACCACGCACCCCACCCATTGACCAGAGGCACTCACTCGGATCCATTGCACTGCTGCGTGCCCCACCGGTCCTGCTGCAGCATCATGCCAATCAGCAGACTGCCACGGAGAAGAAGGGCGAGGGGAGGGGGAAGGGGGGAGGTTGTAACGGGAATATGGCAGAGGAGGCTCTAATGGGCAAACAAGAGAGGTCAGGGAATGCATGCGAGGTGGTACTGTTAACGGGAATGGAGTGTTGGCCCCGCCCTCGCTTGGGCAACGCCGACGACTTGGTCGGATGTACGGGAGTAGCAGCCGACCGTTCACAGTGGGAGAGCTGCTCGACAGGCTACGTCGAGCTGCAGGGGACCGCTGTGGTGTTGCTGTCGACCAGGGAGCTCGACAGCTGCAACTGACTGGCCTGGGCGACGGGTGGGCCGTCCGGGAGGTCGGTGGAGCAGTCCGTCGACCTACAGCTCGACCGGGAGGTCCGCGGGGCATCCCGTCGACCTGCAGCTCGACCGGGAGGCCCGCAAAGCATCCCGTCGACCTGCAGCTCGACCGGGAGGTCGACGGAGCAGTTCTGGTCGACGGAAGGGGGTCCGTCGACCAGGGGGTAGCTCGACGGGAGCTGTGGTCGACCAGAGGCACCTGGTGGTCGACCGGGAGCATCTGGTGGTGTCCAGGTCGACCGGGTAACCTGCTCGACGAGTTCTGCGGAGGCACGCGAACGTCGTCGAGGTCGCGATGACGAAGGCGACTTCGGGCTGGTATCCCGAAGTCGATGTGGCTCGTCAGGCGCAGACAACAGCCGACAGATGCACAGCGAGGAAAGTCGGGCCAATCGTCTGCGCGCACCTGCGAGCGTGCGCACTGCTGTCTTCTACGGGGCAACGCTGGACAGCCGCACAGCTGCAGCGTTGGCACGCCGTCGACCTGCAGTGTTGGCAGGTCGCTCTTCTGCAGTGCTGGCGCGGCTCCTCTACGCAACGCTGGCAGGCGGTCGACCATGCAGTGCTGGCGGTCGACCAGGCTAGCTGTAGAGTTGCTAGGTGCCTGATGTAGTCGATTTCTATCATTGCTTGTTCAATCATTCTGTATTCTCAACTTTGCTAGTGGAAACTCTTGCCAATCTCTCCCGTGAATGCGCAAGTGCTAAGGAACCAAGCAAAGCTACGATCACTCCTAGTAGTTCGTGCCAACCCCCGTAGTCTAGCTCACTACCGTTGTAGAGTGAATCTCCGCAGGTACGATACGGTGCACAGCTGTGCCCCTCTCAACGGTACAAGGGGGTTCTTTCCAAGTGAAGGTATACGCGATCAGATCTAGTGTGGCAGGTTCACGGAGTTCAATTGAAAGGGCAAGAAAGGCATGGAAAGGCACTGAGCGACATAAGTGTGGTGCGCGTCAGGGGAGCATGGAGACACGGGGGAGTACCGGTTGCGGTGTGACACGAAGCGCTGGACAGGAAAACCCCTCTCAGCTGCAAAGGGAAAGTTGCTCTCGGTGTAGTTGGGGCCGTAGCGCTGCAGTGAGAAGGGGAAGTTGAGATTCGTGCCCACCGCCGTGGTTAGACAGCACGCTAGGGAAGGGGAGGGAGGAAGAAGGGGGGGAGGGAGGGGAGGGAGGAGGAGAGAGAGGAAGGGGAGGGGTATAAGGAGAAGTGAGCAGGGACGCAAGGGCAAGGAGTCGCTGAAAGGAAGTGCAAAACAGAGGGCAGTAAAAATGGAGGGAGAACAGAACGGGGAGCAAGGCAGGGAGTGAGGGATGACTGACAGCCGTCGTCGCGGCGGGTGTGGCCGGGGGGGCAGGCACAGATGCCGGGGCCAAAGAGCGGGTCGACACACGCGCAGTCGCCACCGTCAAAGGCGCACGCGGGCGTGTTGCACGCCGCATCGCACACCCCGTTCGCCAGCCAGCGCAGCAGACACCCCGGCGAGCACTCGTATGGTGCTGACGAGGAGGAGGAGGCGGAGGAAGCAGTGGTGATGTTGGTCGGAGCAGCGGTGGTGGTGTTGGCTGTAGTTATGTTGGTGACGGTTGTGGTTGTATCAATAAAACCTGTGATTTCTGCATGCAAGAAAAACCAGGAGGAAAGGAGAGGAGATGTGGAGAAGAACGGTAGAAAATGATGGAAAGAAAAGGACGAGCTGTGGATGAGGGAGGACAGAGAGAATGGAGGCAGGTGGGAAGGGTTGAGACTGGATGCACAGAGGGCGAGCGAAGGGATGTAAGACAAGGGAATGGCGCATGGGAGGGTGCTCACCAGCAGCATCCACCTCACCCCTCGCAGGCAGTACTGTGAGAATGCTCGTCACCATGGACGTGGGGGAGGAAGGGGAGGAGGAGGAGGACAGGGAGGAGGTGGAGGAAAGGGCGTCCCCAGTGGCGGCTGGCAGAGTGCCGTCCTGGTAGTGGATGGTGATGGGCTGAGCAAACACCTGGCTGTAGGCGAATGCGCCCGGAGGCTCGTCATCCATCCCTGGTGCGGGAACAGGGTGGGAGGCAGAGGAGAGGTGATTGTGGAGCATATGGGGAGGACTGAGGGAGTACAAGGGCGATTCATCGGCAGCAGCAGCAGCAAAGGGTTTTGAGTTGAACGAAGTAGTGTGCATACAGCTTTGAGAAACTTATCGCCAGATCAGCAATCACTTTGCCGTACACTTTTTGGAGATACAGGATGGCGACCCTGTGACGGGTCGTACCCTTTTATATCCTGCTTTCACATAGAATAGAAGTACCTTTTTATGGATTGAGTGTAGCACCAACCTTGTTGAAACGTGATTGCCTACAGTTTCCAGCCTGACATGAGAAAAATCAATCAATGCCATCGCACAACCAAATTTCAAACTTGTTCGGCTTTGGTTCGGTTCAGTAAAGTCTCATTTGTACACCCTCTCCACACGCCAGCACTCACTGAGCACACACGGCACGGGGCATCGCTCACTCACCACAGCATCAACACTCACTGAGCACACACGGCACGGGGTCGTTTTGCATGTCGCCAGCACCCACGTTCATGGGAGTGCACACCATCTGCCGTGACACGGCCAGGCGGTCCCCCCCGAAGCCCAGGAATAGCGGGTCGCCTGCCTCGCCCATCCCCGCCACTGAGGGGGTTGAGGCACATGTGTGGTGGATGTAGAGGGGTGGTGGAGCCACAGGGGTGGTAGGCGTGGATTAGTGCAGCGCAACGAATGGAAAATAGTGCCATGGTCACAGAGAATCGTTACAAAGGTCCATCATGGAGCAATATAAGCGCGGATGCACGAAAGAGGTAGTGGTTCATGAAAATGGTAAGGCTTTGAGGACAACGGTGTACCTTTGAGCGAATGCGGGAGGTCGTCATCCCACACCCAGGTGACCTTGTCGCCCACATGGATGGTCGTGTTGTGCTTCACGCCGGCGCGCCATGGCAACCACGCTCCACCTGAAGGGAGACAAAAAGGGGGAAAGTAATGTTGTTAGTCGATTTCTCGTCTGACCTGCTGTGAGTAAGAGGCATACATGCACATGTGAATGTTCTCGCACATGCAGATGCTCAATGACATAAACACATGCACATGCACATGCACATGCACATGCACATGCACATGCACATGCACACAGCACAGCACATGATCAGAACCACCAGCCATGAGCACCAACCTTGCGAGCAGCCGACAACGTCGGAGGTGACGATGGCATCATCGAAGGCATGCATGAGCGTGTTGAGGCGCGCCGCATCCACATCCGGCATGGGCGTGACGGAGCGCAGCGCCGCCACCATGGTTTGCACGAAGCGCCGCATGTGCTGCGATGAGATCATGCGCCCGCCACTCACATGCGTGCGCTGCAGGTATGCATACATTTCAGTGTCCACCACCACTTGCTGCCCTGTTTCATCCGTGAACCGGCATTCATCTAGAGTTGTGGAGGGCCCTCCAAGCATGGTGCAGAAGCACGCCACCATGCGCACCCTCACACTGCCCGGCCCGCCCCGCGCGTACTGACTCGCTCCCACCACTCCCCTTGCCTCTGACCCAGGTGCTCGACCAGCAAGGCAGTTGTCCTTGGCCATGGTGAAGAGCGCTCGTGACACCGCCACCTGCAGGGCTGTCAGTCGCTGGCGGTCTGTGGCGCCCAGGAGCGACCAGAGAGAGGGCTGCGTGGGGTCTGCTGTGGCTGCTGCTCCTTCCGCTGCAATCGCTTCTGGTGATGGCGGTGGCTGTGCGAGTTGGGCTGCAGCAGCAGCATCAGCAGAGGCAGCAGCAGCATCAGCAGAGGCAACAGCAGCATCAGCAGAGGCAGCAGCAGCTTGTGAGGCGAGTGCAGGAGAGGCAGCATCAGTGAAGGCCGAGGAGGTCCAGTAGCTGTCGGGCCGAGGCTCATGCAGGCCGTGCTGCACCTGAGTCTGGGCAAGGATGGTAATAGGTGGCAGGCATGGGTGTGCAGAGAGTGAGAAAGAGGGGTTAGCTATGATTGAAGCTGCATTCCATGATCGGATGAAGCACGGCAAGGAGAGCAACAGGCGAAGGAAGGCGCACCGGCAGACAGAGCATGGCGAGGCAGGAGTGCAGACACGGACAATGGGCAATGAACAACGTGAAGGAAAAAAGAGGCAAAGGGGAGAAAAGGCAAAATTAGAGTTGATGGGGTGCAAGCAAATTCATAAGGAGAGCAGCGAGCGATGGGGTTGGCAGCACCACCTTGCGGCGGGTGAGGCGAGAAATGCACCCCGACGAGTTGACTGCTGGTTGGGAGGGGGTGACGTGCGGTGAGAGAAGGTGGGAGAGGGTGATGTGGGGTGAGAGGATGGGAGAGGAGGGTGATGTGGGGTGAGGTGAGGATGGTGAGAGATAATGATCAGAAAAGAATGTGCTTAAAAACGTGCACAGGATGCATGCATCGATTGCACATATGCTACATGGGATGATACTCAAGAAAAGGTAAGACAAGATGCAGGGAGGGCGGCGATACCTGAAATGTTGCAGGGGGTGTTGGAGAAGAGTGTTGCGATCTCCGGCTGCAGGCAGTGGGGGGTGGAGGAAGGAGGGAGTGAGTGAGAAAGACAAGTGCACTGGACACAGAGCGGCCCTGTTAGTCAGTAGGCCAAGATGGATCAAGGGGCCAACATGGGCAAGGGGCGCACCATGCGGCACGTGGTATCGGTGTAAGGGGTGATGGAGGCGGGTGCAACGATGCACATGCGCGCACAGTCCACGAACGCCCCTGCCACCTCCCTCTCCGTGAATGCTCGCCCACAGGCTGTTGGCAGGCAGGCCACTAGCCTCTCACACGTCTGCATGATTGAACACATGCATGCACGCACGCACACATGCACACACGAATGCACGCATGAATGCATGTATGCAGTCAATTGGATTGGCATGACATGTAATAGAAAGTGGCCAACACCTCGCTCAGATGAGCTTGAATGGGATAAAGGCTCAGCGTCTTCTACACCGGTTGCAGTGCAGACAGAGCAACAGCATCCTCACGTCACGACAAATGTCAGGCGAAGCAGCAGCATCGCCGCCACTTGGCAGCGTCTGATTGGCGGCGTCCACATCATCTTCGAGCGCACAGGACCCCCACGCAACGAGCTGGACAGTGGAGGCAGCACCAACGACAGAGAGGCGCTGTGTGCCGGGAGGGGGCGCGTGCACGGTGCCGCGGATGCCCCCCGCGGGCGCGTTGAGCACCACCACCCAGTCGCCGTCCGGAATGTCCACCGCCACTGATGCCTCTGCCTCGCCCCGTGGGAATGGCTGGAATGCCTCGTACCTGCTTGCCAAGCGTGAGTGCCACACGTGGGGTGGGGTGGAATGGGGTGGGGTGAGGTCGGGTGGGGTCGGGTGGGGTGGGGTGGGATGAGATGGGATGGCACAGCATGGCACGGCATCGCATGGCATGGCATGCCGTGCAACGTAAGTATACAGATGACAGGATGCAGAGTAGCCGCAACAAGATAGAATGATAGCGTTCTGCATGGAGATCTGGAGTGACCAGTTACCCTGGCATTGGTACGTGTCAAGCCCAACCTGGTGTGGTGAGCACGCAAGCAGGAGAGCACGCAAGCAGCCGAGAGCTGGTGTGGTGTGCCACAAGAGTGAGAACATACCAGCACAGGGAGACAGGTTTGACCATGCAGAGGTTCCAGGAAGATGCGTCTGCAGCCTCTTGGGTGTCGAGCTTGGAGGAGAGGCGGATGACAATGGAGGTGAGGTTGGGAAAGGTCCCGCAGTCTGCTTCGCAGCCAAAGCGGCCAAACGCGGGGAACTGGAAGGGGCGGTGGCAGAAGCCGTCGCCACATGTGGGGTCCGCCCACAGAGTCTGCAAAGGGCGTTGTGGGCGTGGAAGGGCGAGTGAGGATCGTGCGGTACGGACCACTGAGTGTGCGAGTGCCGAACTTTGATGAAGACACGGGATAGGTGTGACGCCGCGTGGGTGGGCGGAAGCTACTAGATTAATAGGCGTGGGTATGCGGGGAGAAACACACTTTAAGTGCACAAGGAGCGATGATGCAGGGAGCTGGGTAGAGGGCAGGGACGATGCCACACCTGCACGATGCTGGTGTTGAGCCAGCTGTAGAAGTCATCCGGACCGTTGAAGGTGTTGGAGGCGTCCTGACTCATGCCCTGCTCTCTTGGAGGGGGAGAGACGCAACGCAAGCAGGGCGGAGGGTGAGCGGAGGCGAATGAGTGGAGAGGGAGCTGGGCAAGGGCGCGGTGGCAGTGATGACGCGCACGCACATGCATGCGCACATGGACATGCATGCGCGCACGAATATGCATGCACGCACAAACATGTATGCGCACATGGACATGCATGCGCGCACGAACATGCATGCGCACATGGACATGCATGCGCACATGGAGATGCATGCGCACATGGACATGCATGCGCGCACAAACATGCATGCGTGCACGAATGCATGCGCGCACAAACATGCATGCGTGCACTAACATGCATGCGCGCACGAACATGCATGCGCGCACGAACATGCATGCGCGCACGAACATGCATGCGCGCACAAACATGCATGCGGGGGGGAGAGCACGGCGGAATTGGAGCAGACGGGTAGAGCACGGGGAGGAGGAGGAGGAGGAAGGCGTGGGGCAGTATGGGACGTAGGAGGGAGCACACGGGGGGGACGAGCACGAGGGAGTTAGCGGGGAGGCATAAGGAAGGGGAAGAGCATGGAGTGGGGTAAGAGACGCGGAATGAGCACACCAGAGGGTACTAGGGGCGTGCGTACGGGGGGGAAGAGCACGGCATGCGCGGCGGTGATCTCGTAGCTTCGAGAAGAATCAGCTTGCATGTAGAGGATGGTGATGAAGAGCGCCATGAGCACCACGAACCCGCCCAGGTCGCGGTAGTGCTGCACGCGCTGCTGCAGCGCCACCACGCGCCCAAACGCCTCTGCCACCCACGCATCAGGGGAGCGGGGAGGGGAGAGGGTTGGGGGGGGTTGAATGCAAAAGGGGGCGTTGAGGTATT